CCTCCAACCTAATAGCGATGGCCTCCAACCTAATAGCGATGGCCTCCAACCTACTAGCGATGGCCTCCAACCTAGAAGCAATGGCCTCCAACCCAATAGCGATGGCCTCCAACCTAATAGCCATGGTCTCCAACCTTATGGCAATGGCCTCCGACCTAGCTGAAATGCAAGAGTGTTGATTTGGAGAAACTCGTCCTACCTTGCAATGACTGAATCAAAAGTGTGCAATCAAATCTAACGGACATCATACGCTCGCGCCACCAAGCAGCATCTGGGTCCGCGAAAACTGCCAACGGACCTGCCACGCCACCTGTGATCGCCAGCGTTGCAAAAGGCGCAGGCGCACAGGAAGATTCGTCTAATGAATGCAAGTAGACCAAAACATGAGTCACAGTGGTGGATGGAAGAAATCCGAAATGGATACAATATCTTGCCATTTGCGGGGGATCAGTGCAGCTTACCTGGTTTGGTGAAAAGTACTCACATAACTGTTGTCTCTCTCGCTCTCCCGATCTCTGTGTTGAACCAATCTGTTCATTGTCTGCACCACTGTTCTTTGGTGACACTATGTATATACCAGTCATTTTCGTCTCAATGCTTCACTCATCCAGGTGGACCCAGGTGGAAATCCTTTCATCAAGTTCTTTGCGCTGCACTGCGCTAACCTGACACCCCCCTTGCCGAGCACCCGCCTGTGACCAGGAAATCCTCTGTGCTCTCGGCCTGAAGAGCAAAATTCCGGTTCAAAACGGGAAGCTGTACTGGGAGCTTTTAGGTTGGAGGCCTCTTACTGGGAGCTTTTGATAAGCCCCCTTGACTTGGGGTCAAAGGAGGTAACAGGTCGTCTGACATGCCATCTACAGAAAGAGTGATGAATGATTGTCTGCAAGAAAATGGACATTAGTCTTCAGATCTTTCCCAAATCTCAGCCCGTCCATCTGCTCGTGCTTGCCCAAGAATCCCTTGCTCGGTCGCTTCGGACGATTCTGGGCACCCCACCTCTCCCTTGCTCTGTAGCATCGCCAAGCCCACCAACGCCTGGCTGCGAACGGCTAGCGTGTGGCGCGCGCGAAGTTAAAATCCCACAACTGAGTGATTTCATGTGTTTTCGTGTGATTTGAGAGGAGGAAGCAGAGAAACATAATAGAGATAAACGAGAAATGTCCAACCAGACAATGCCAGGCACCCCAAAACGAAACTCCGATTGATCCCGACAGGCTCGGTCCAATGCACCCAATGAAGCCTGCACTGTCATTGCATGGCCTCTAATCTACTAGTAGCAATAGCGTCCCCTAGTAGCGTCCTTGCTCCTAGTAGCAATGCCCTTTGCTCCTAGTAGCTTCCTTGCTCCTAGTAGTAAGGCCAGGAGCCCCTAGTAGCGTCCTTGCTCCTACGCATGGAACCTAAAAGCAATGGCCTCCAACCTACCAGCGATGGCCGCAATGGGCAACGTTCACGTCATCCACGATCGACCTGTTCCTTGAATCGACCTCTGGCCCTGTTCTCGGTCGAGACTGATCTTACCAACCCAAATCAAAGACACAAACAGTGTGTAAGCTATGCTTGAATGGATTGAATAAGCTAACACGACGAGACCCAAAGCTATGCTTGAATGACTTGCGACCTGCAGCACGGCTGCAGCCAGCAGCATGAGGATGCCTTTGCCCCACCTGAAGAAGAATCGCAAACACGCTCGGACCGGCCAGCCATGGCCCCCCGACATATGTGGTTGGCAACATACGTAATTTGGACGTCTCCATTGCATGGCGTGGCAGGAAAGCAGTCCAGCATGGGTTGCCTCTGGTTTCCTTCATGATGAATTTATGAATCTTGTGGTGGTTGAAGCAGTTGGCTATCTAAATCCATCAAACTGGCTCTATAACCTTCGAAGCTCTAGATCGATTTCGAAGTTTGCCTTTGACTTTATCAGTTCCGATTCTTCGTGCAAGCAGGCTTGTCTCACCACTCTTAACCCGCCACCCGCCTGCGGCTAGATTCAGCCTGTGGCAGGATGGCTGGCATGCAATGATGTAGCTGTCGGGTGGTTGGCATCCTACCTGCTGGCCCTTTTGGGGGAATCGATTGTCAGCGTCCTTTCATTCACCTTCTTCGCATCATCCTGGTTCTTCGAAGCTGACAACAACTATTCAAGATCCAGTGTCCTCTACAGCTAAGCAAAAGAGGGGTCCCTCTGTCCGGCACCACTCCCCTCACTCATATTCCTACGACCAAGGATAGGGTATGGTTCAAATTCCGATCTTTTCGTGATGTACCCGCCGTTTGTGTCTGCTTATATCTACCTTCTATCCTTTCCCTGATAACGGTTGGCTGTGGTACGCACCACAGCAAAGCTAGTTTTGTGGAGACGCATCAAGAGCTCAACAAATGTCCCAGACTATACAGTAAATCATTACCAGTGGAGAGCACCTGCTGTACACACAAGCATGTAAAGTCTTATGAATCGGCTCAACACCCTTTTTGGTGTCGCCTATCGCTGGAAATCCTGGCGTCAACCTCTCCAACGTCAGATTTTAAAGGAGACGGGGCCAAAGCGGCGAAAGCGAAAGCACGGTCCACGTCCTCCACCCAGCCTGTCTGACCGGCGCTGGCGCCTCTTTGGTCTTCTTGCCCTCCGCATGGAGATTCGACTCTGAAGGGCAGCTGTGGCTGTACGATTCTGACAATCACATTCGACATGCTTTGCACTTCTGTTGAATTTGGGGATTGACCCTACCATCAGCCTGGCAGGATGAAGCTTGCACAGTTAATCCTGCTCACTCCTCGAACAGCAGAGACGAGAACTCTACGTTCCTGTACTACATAAACGATATGAGCGACAGTCAAAATTTGTTGTGGAGTTGGAGGTCATCAGGATTTGGTGAGTGTGTTATCGTTTATTGAGCAAAACATGTATTTTGAACTCCCATGACCACTCACCGACTTTCGTCACTTTCACTAATATTGAGCCTAGCTCATACATTATAGAGGCTAAAGAATCTGCAACGCTATCTGTATCAATGCCCGCAGGTCTCAATCTACTCTCCTTGAAAAGGCTCCAAGAGATCGTGCTCTCCTGCCTTCCGCTTCTCATCCTTTTTCTTCTCGCGTGCACGCTGGGTGCGGCCCACGTTCATGCATGAGCACGGTCGGGTCGGTCAGCTGAACTGCCCTCTGAATGGAAAGACTTCCGTCAACTGCTTAATGACCTCCAACCTAATAGCAAACTATAGTAGACCTTTCATGACCTTTCTTCCTTTTCTTTCTCTTTGTTTCTATCAGCGATGGCCTCCAACCTAAGAGCGATACTAGACTTTTTGAGAGCAAAGAAACATAGAGAAAGTGATCGCATCTAACTCCACCCTGCATGCTACAGAAAAAGCCTTGCTACCGCTGCACAGAGACCTATCATGTCCCTTTTGTGACTGCTTCGATTGGCCTCCAACCTCCTAGCGATGGCCTCCAACCTGAAAGAGATTCTGCGATAGACTCCCAGGTCGATCTAGTTTCATCCTCGTGGTCTGTCGTGTCATTCGTTCGATCAGACCACGATCTGTTTGAAGCTTGAATTCAGCGGTCATCGAGAATCACATTCCACACCGTGTATGGAGCGCGACGCGCACGGAGATAGACAAACAAAGCGTGAGGATCGCATGGGGAGATCTGTCCGAAAAGGCATTTGGAGTTCAATCTGAGAATCTGTTCGGGACTTTCCAAGGAAAAATCCCGCCTAGAAAGAGAAACAGAATACTCATAAAGCCCATGTCCGGCGGTTGGTTTGCTCTTTCAGAAAAAACTGCCAAATGGTGGAAGCTTTCGAAGCATCTGAAAAAAGATGGCCTGGAGAGCTTTAGTTCTGGATCCCCACATGGGTAGAAACTTGTGGCCGAGAGGGGGGTGGCGAAAGCTAGGCAAAGAAACAACGCTGGGGCTCTTTGGCAGGAAAAGCCTGGCCGGGAATCGCAACATGCCATGGCCAAGGGAAAAGGAGAGTGCCAACAGCGCCCCCCCAATACGACCCCAACACTGCCAACACATGGCAACACACAACCACCCCAGCAACGGCAGCAGCAGCAGCAGCATCATCAGCAGCAGCCACCAAGCAGCAGCAGCTACCAAGCAGCAGCAGCTACCAAGCAGCAGCAGCAGCAGCAGAAGCAGCAGTAACAAGTGCCTTACTAGTAGTAACAAGTGCCTTACTAGTAGTAA